TTACACATCATTCTGCCGTGTTACTTCTTCCATCTTGGTATAAAAATAAAAACTTCTGAACTATTAAGGTGTTTTCAACCAATTATTGGTTGATTACAACTAAGAAAATAATAATTATTTTCTATTATATGAACTAGTTAACTTTATATGTTACAATTTAAAAAAATTAAGGTGGTACTTATATAAGAAATATAGGAAAAACTTAAAAAATATTTAAATAATCGAAAATTTAGAAATAAATATTAGAGAAGAGTGAAACAAGCTGAAGAGCATAATGATTTTCGTGGTTTTAAGAAAATATAGTAATTTTTGCAAACTTTTTATAAAAATATTTTTAAATGTTTTCAAAAAGTGACAAAATTTTCAGTATAACTGAAATGAACTTATAATTTTGTTTTAAATCAAACTTATGCTACTGTATACAAACTTTGAGTGTGAATAAATAAATCAAATTAGTTTTATTACAAATCTGCAGAATAACCTCAAAAATAAAAAGGGTTCAAAATGTCAAGCTTATTTAAATTATGGATTTTTGAGTAAAACTGAAATATGGAAAGTTGATTTTTTCGTTTTAGTATATACAATTCCTACATGTAAAATAATTTGCTTATAATTAGTTGAACAAACTCAGTTACTGATAAAAATAAACTTATTGATTATATAGAAGCGTAACTTAGGAGACCACAAGTCTATTTCCCTTTTTAAATGTCAACTTGTTTCAGGAGTGAGGCAAGATGACGAATTTGACTATTCTTTCTAATTAATTAGTACTTCTTAGAATAACTAATATTAATTAACGAGATATTTACCGATTGGCCTCAATATATCAAGAAGTATTTCTACCAAATTTCAAGTTCATGCGAATCTTACACTTTCTGTAAGAGATTTAATTAAAGTTTAAGGGTGTTAACTTGCCCCATTAAATAACCCAAAAAAATGTTATAAATTTTTATTATTTTAGAAGAAATTTAGAGGTCAACTATAAATTAATCGCCTTGTGTATTGTACTAGCTTAATTGTTAAAAAATGATTCAATTAAGAATATAATTGGTCAGCAAACAGTTTTTATACCAGTATTTTGGAAGTTATGAACACGGTACTCTTATAAAAATTCAGAGATGAACCTAAAAAATATTTAACAACTTAAAATTCAAGTCAAAGTACTACTAATAGTGCAAACAAAAGTTATAATATTCTATGAGATATTTAAGGATAAGAAAAAAAAACGCGTACAAACTTCTGAAGAGTTGTCACAGGGGAAAAGATGACCTTTGCAGTTTTATTTTTTCTAATATTATTGCTATTAGTTATTACAACCAAGATACTTTAGGGTATTCTATTCCAACGGTAATCATCGAGTGTTCCGTTGTATCGCCCTCGAGGTACGGCTACGATTGATATTGTTTCATTTACAGTTGTACAACAATGGGGAAGGTTTCCGTTTGAAATTATTAGCGTACAGAAGTTCCGGAATGCATATAATATGCAGTACAGTATAATATATTGTTTTCGGACGTTTTTGTCGAAAGGAGGGGACAAAAACGTGATTCGAGTATAAATTGTAAATATTAATTTTCCTCACCGTCGTCGTTGCTGGTGTTTTTTTTTTCACTTTCTTTCGGTGTTTAAACCCCTCACGGCTCGCAACAAAAACTAAGATCGATTCAGTCTATGTCGTATAATTCGCGCCAGGAGTCTGTGTCACCCTTTATAAAACCATAGTCGCATACTTTAATTTCAACCATACCGGGCACGCGACACGACAACCGCCTACATTGCAACTTTTGTTTTCGCAATTATTGCACTAGACGCGCCCCTTCCTTCGCGTAATGTAATCATTTGAAAACGCAACTTTAAATTAACTATTACATTTGATAATATAAAATAATAACTGCGTAATGGCAAGTTGATGAATAAGTAAATACTCGTGTCACGGGCAGAAGTTGTTACAGTTTTGCCGACGACTAAATTTAGCCAAAGCGCAACACGAGAAAATGGGTTGTAGGGAAGTGAAAAAAATGTACAACACCTTTCGCAACAAAACTCTAACGACGCCACTGGTGTATCGGAGCACGTAGAGATCATACGGCAACATTTTACGAATGTCAATTAATTATATTAATGAAATTAACGCTAAATCATAATATTAGTGGGCGTCGGTGTCGATCGCCGTGATAACATTTGCCCGTTTTTTGTCGGTCTGTAGATATGTTAGTGACTCGCGATTAATTTTAATCAGTTTGTACGAAGACGAGTATGGAATTCGAAAAAAGGGGAAAATACTCAGTACGTGACTTTTCCATTGAGAAACACCGAGCGAGTACACGGCAACAAGGAAAAGCACTAGGATCTCCTGCTAGAATCTACTGCGGCAATCGGTAGAAGATATAAGATACGTGCTGGCGGGCAGGGGCGACGTTGGAGATCAGTGGGGTTGCCGTCGAGTATGCGCTTTTTAAAAACCACCTTTTTGACGGCGGTCCGGTAAGTGATTCTAGCGGCAACTCCTTTTAAACGACGTTTAACAGCGGAATAGGTTTTGCACAAGTTTTTATTTGCAACTTGCCATCATATCCTGAGACTTTGTTGGCAAGCGAAAGCGCACGTGACGAAAATTCATCGGCATCAGCTCTACCATTTTTCTCCTGACACGCACTCGTTTACCGTTTACTCTTCACGTGGACTGGCGGTTGTCGCCAACGCCTTTTACGGTTTACCCGCCAGTGCCTCGACGTTGCACTTCCTACTTAGCTATGAGAGACATCTTATAAAAGTTTACAGAATTCGCCATTTCTACTTTCTATTGGTTACGAGGGCTGTGGTCGATGTCATACGATAGAGACAAAATAACACACGTGCCACAACATAATTTGTCTAGCCAAAAAAAAAAAACTATTATTAGTGTCATTCTTATTGCAGATTTCAAATTTTTATCTACCACTTCTATATAAATATTAAGTTTATTTAACAAACATTTTCAATTTTAAAATAAAAAGGAACATTTCAAATGGGTCCAGATAATATTAATTAGAATATTAAATTTATTTCATATAATATGTAAACAAACATTAATCATGTAAGTAATGGACATATTATATTGATTATTTTATTAACATATAAGATGATATTAATAAGTACTTAAATTAAAACTTCGAATTCCATATGTCTAAGGTTAAAAAAAAACTATAATTTTGTTGTGTTATAGTTCGTGAACTATTAGAATAAACCCAAATAATACAATTCCCATTGAGATTTTGCTTCAAGTATCAAAGTACTTCAGAAAACATACAATATGAGTAAATGAACAGCTTACTTGTATTATACTTAATTATTCATTCATAGATTTATAAATAGTGCGTATACACACTATTCTAACTGAAGCACATCCATATTGATATTTTTAGTAAATTCTAGTCCATTAAAGGGTCGTAAAGTAAAACTTGTGAGACATCAGGCGAACTAATAAAATAAACCCTAACGTTCTTCAAACATAGTCCGTGGTCTCACTTGAAAATCTCTTGTTAAGCCGTTAATGGTTTCTGTCTCAGAATAGTAGCGTATAAAATAGTAAAAAGAGGTTTTTTAAAAAAATAGCATTTAACTAACAAAAACTAATTTCTACGGTCATTTGTATTTTAAAAGCTGTTCAAACACCATTACAACTAAATAAATTTATTTTTGTTTTTACTAAAAGTTTTATTAAAAGAAATAATTTTAAGTAAATAAAAATGTATTTTTAAAAGTTGTTATTTGGATTTTAATTCCTAAAAACATTGCTGGGAAAAATCATTTTTCTTGTAATATCGTTTTTGTAAAAATATATCAACAAAACATTATCAAAGAGAATTCACTTAATAAGTATTGATCATTTTTAAGATCATTCAAATATATTGAATATTAAAATTCTTTGAGGATTGTTAAATAAAACTATAATAATTTTTAAATAAATTATTTATAAAATTTCCGTATAGTAAAAAAAAATCCTATTAGTATTTATTCGATACACATAATATTAATAAAAATTGTGTTAAAAAACATTTATAAGTTTAAATTTCCCGAATTGCAGTCCAAATGAAATTGAAGTGGCATAAAACGACTAGAGTTATGAAATGTTAGTTAAAGTACTTTGGTACCATTCCGTTGTCCATTGTTGTTATGTGCCTAGAAAATGCGTCAAATTCACTCTTCCCATTAGCACGTGTAAAAAACGCCACACGTGTGCGTGTACGCCTGTCAAAAGGTAGGCTGATGCTTTTCAACTGAGTTAAGTGAAAGAACATAGTCGCCTCCGTTCTTGACTCGCTAATGGCTTTTAAACGACCGCCAACAAATTCGTCATGCAATTGATTTATATACAAGAGCCTGTTGCGGATTTTTTGTTCGCTTGCAGTAAAGGCTGTTGTTAAATCGTTTGGAAGGGTCAATATCAGCCGAGCAAGAGAAAAAGAGAAAGGGATTTGACGCTAATTAACGTGAGCTTATGTTCGTTTGTAATCTGCGCTTAATAGGACACATTTTTCTTGTCCATCTTATCGTATCGGCCCGTAATCAACTCAACTAATTTGTTAGTGTTTTCAAATAATTAATCCAGTTTTATATCGCAAGACAAACATAATACCACGGCGCGTTATCAAAAAAGAGCACTATGTTTTTTAAAAGATTTTTGTTCAAACAAATTACCTAGTTTTACTAATTTTAAAAGACAAAAATAACCTTGGTGAAAATACCTAGTGAAAGTAAACGTACCATGAAATTTAATTTAGTATCATTTAGCTGACACAATTTAACGAGCCATTTATCTTTACTTTTAAATTTTAAAATTAACTTTTGCAAAGCTTTTGTCGTTTTCATTATCATTGAAACAGCGTAAACATTTTTGGAAAACACTGAAAACGAAATGTAAAATAATTGTTTAAATATTATTTTAATTTGATTTACATTCTGTAATATGTAATTATAACGTAAAAATAGCATTTTTTATTTGTTTAATGTGCTGAATGTTTTTCTTCTTTTTAGAAAAACTGTTGTTATTAGTTTTTTCCACCCGTCATAAATTATGAATTTTTTACAACTTTTATAACATCCCAAGAAACGAGCAACACGTAAACACACAACAGGTATTCACTACAAACAAAAAAGGACAATAATAAAACAATAGCAGATGAAAGTGCTCAAAAAAGTGCCTCTAGTAAAACGTTTCCGGTCGCAGTGATGCAATAACTTAACAAAAACGAACGAATGAGCATGACGAGGTTTTTGGTTGAGATGAAACGAAAGCGGCACAAATGTTTGGTCTTTTGGAGTAAACACGAGGTAAAATCTGTTGTTGGCAAAGTATAAGCATGGTAAGGATACGATATTATTAAAAACTATTTTTTTATTGCAAAACATGAGAGCATTTCAGCTTGTAATAGGAAAATCTCAACTGTAGTAAAACAATAACTTTATTACATTGTAGCAAAATTCAATATATATACTCCTACGAGAGTGTGCGATATAATAATATCAATATAAATAAAACGATGGAATTATTCAAATTTTAGGCATATTACTTAAATGTGCATTAATAGTGTGTTTTAAAAGTAAAAGAAACTCATGACATTTTTAAGCACAATCGTCATTACCATAACCTTTATCCCAACTATTTGTCGTTGATTATGCTCTAACGATTTGACGGAATTTTACACCAACCTGAAGTAACCTCATTATGGTCGAGGGAATCAGTATGGGGGCAAAGTGTGTATTACTGTTAAAATTTTTTTATGTTCACCCATTCGGCAATCAAGAGCAAACAGCGCAGCTGAACATCAACTACAAGTCGGCGACTAATGATCCATTGCACCATAGAATGCCCCTATTTTTAAGCATTATCGTAATTAAAATAAACATTTTAATTATAATTAGTAACACTTTTTCTTTTGATTTAAAATATTACAAATTTTTGAGAACGTAGATTTTTAACTCAACAAATCATAATAGTCTGTAAAAAGAGAAATATTAAATTTAGAATATAAAACAGAACTCTTATTCATTCATGATAAGAATTCACAAACTATTTAAATATTTTTTATTTCCTTATAAGCTACCTATTCATCTTTCATCTGGATAATTTCGTAGAATTTTTCTTTTTAGATTTAGAGATTCGCAAATATATATATATATATAAATAACAGTCAATAGTATAATAACAGCAAATAAACATAACTAAAATTATTCGTTAACATTGTGTTTAATTTTTATTATACTCGTTATTATCCATAATATAATGTAATTCATAATTGTATATTGTCACGAACCAAAAGCAAAAAAACAAATAACATACACGTATAAAATGACCCTTGATAACTTCTATATACACTAGTACAAAAATGTCCAGATTACTTCTAACATTAACTTAATCAAAAAAATTATATAAAGTCAAGTTAAAACTGAAAATGTTACTGAAACTATACAAAACTTGTATCTATGTTTTAGTTTATATGGGTTTTTATAGATATACCCGCGGACAGTTATTACCAATCGTAAGTATAATAGTTTACAAATCTATTTTCAAGTTATATTTATTAGTTAGAAGTTTCCCCTAAAACTAAAAGTTCATTAATTGAAAAATACTAATATAGTTGTATACTATTATTTTTATTAAATAAAATTATTTTGATTATTTTTAATTAGACATAGATGTTTATTAGCTTCGATGCGAAGCTGAGAAGGTATTGGTTTTACTAAGATGTGTTTTTTTTTATGTCTGTTACCACTTTTTCTCAGCTCTCACCAAACGGATTTCTTTCAACGATACGTCAAAAGATCACAAATCGTATCTAGTCGAAGTCATTATCCTTAAAAATTGAAAAAATTTCCCTCGTTTCCCGTAAATGGGGGAAACCTCCAAAAAAATTACAAATTTAAAAATCGCTAATTTTCGAAATTTTCGAAATTTTTTTTACTAAAAACTGCCGTAACTTTTTCAAAAATGAACATATCAATATAATTTTTTTTTATATAAATGTTTGATGTCTTTACCTATGATTTGGTATATTTTTTTTGTAAATTTGACTCTTTATTTGCCCACAGGGGGGGATTTAAAATGACAACTTTTTCACAAAAAATTAACTTTTTCAACTTAACTTTTAAAAATGTTCCGGAAGATCTGACACTTTTATATATATCTTAAATTAAAGCTAATGTAATGTACTTTATAATGAAAAAAAAAAATTGACCTCTGGACTTGTCTTCATGGTGAAAATGGCTAGCGAATGATATAACTTATGGAAAAGTGTATGGATCCACACAATTTTTTTATGAGAAATAATATTTTTTAATAATCCCTTTTTCATTCGACATACTTTATCTTAATCAAGATATTAATAAGGAACTAGCAGATCATGTAGCCTTTGGAATAATACACCAATTTTTTTAAAATTAAATAATATATAAAGATTTGCATAGAAGCGTTTATTTTTGATAGTGATTTTAATCATTGTCAGATATCATTATACTTAATCCAACTATACCACGGCACCACTGTGCCACGACCCCCCTGTGCTGGGGTTTTTTTTTATTATTTTTTAGCTCCAATATAATAACATACATATTGTAAAAGGTAGTCAGTTTTTGGAATTTAACAATAAAATGTTATTTCCTTAGATAGTTCAGTAATATTTTATTGTGATTTGAAATTGAAAATTATTTACAACTACCTAAAAATGTTTGGAACTTTGATCTACTAAAAAATAAAATATAAAAAATTACCATTTTTGTTCATATTCTCACTTAAACCGTCCAATTATAACAAATTTTAAACTATAGATCATCTTAAATTTTTTAGAATATCAAAAGTGTTTATCTAATTCATATTTATTAATTTAACACTGATATTCTTATTTACTATTATTATCTAATTATGTTTAGGGAAAATACTGGATGGATTTTAAAGAATTTAGACCATGTAACTCGAGCAATAATTATTTAATAAATTTCAATATATACACAAAAAAATTAACAGAAGTTACAGATCAATTGCTTGGAAATATAACGTTGAATATTCCTTTTGACGATTCTTTAGAAGTAAGCGAAATGTTTTTAATCAATTGTCATCGAATAAAAATGTACAACAATACTAAAATTTAGGCTATTATCAAAATGGGACAGTACGATTCAACAGGTCTGTGGAAAGACAATGTACATGTAATGATCACAAAAAACGTATGTTCAGGATTAAAAAATATACTAGGACCAAAAGTTTGGTTAAAATTAATAGAATCATTTCATTTTACAAATAACAATTGTCCATGGCAAAAGGTACACATACAATGATACATAATTAATAAAGCTAACTATAGATTAAATTTCTTGTAAAAAATATTATGTCATTACTGATGTATTTTGGTTTGGAATGATAAACTATTTTAAGGAATATTATTTGATAGGGACATTACGAGTCTTCCGGCTTTGATACAGCTTTATTTGGAGAATCGAATGCACCAAAACGTTTTTTTTACGGTATTTATACCACGCGATATCAAATTATGAATAAGCAAAATAATATCGTAAGCTGCACATTAATAAGACTTGGAATAATGCCTTATCCCAAGAACAAAAAGGTAATATTTTAAAATATGAACACACTGAAAAATAGAACTGTCAATTTATCATATTTTCTATCAGTATGATTTTATTAATGCTATTATTATAATATTTTATTTTATTAATATTATAGTCATAAAAACATTCCAACAAATTATAATTCATTTTAATTTTAGTTCTATTAAAAAATTCTTCTTTCAAAAGACATTATGAAAATAATAAATAAATTTTATTATATTTATAGAACTACGGAATTATAAAAGCAATTTCTATATAATTTGTATGGACTATTTAATTTAATAAGTATATAAATTGTTCGTATTCGTATGGTGTTAATTTTTATAAAGACTTAAACATTAAATTTTTAAAAATATGTTATGCTTTATGTGATAATAAATGTTTTTCTTCGAAAGTTAATTATTATACTTATAGTGTATACAAAGGATATAGTGAAAATTATTTAATTTAAGATTTTAAATCGTCATTGTATTAAAAACATATAAATAACATTAAAAAATAAATATTATCTCTTAAGTAGCTAATATTACGTGTTAATAATTCATAATTTTTATATAAAACGTTTTCATCTACTATGTATGATAGAGCTCTAAATACTATTTTAACAGTGTTTAAATAAATATACCGTACACAATTTTGAAATTATAATGAAGTTAAGAAGATTTTGAAAATAAATGGGATGAACATGAAAAATCCAAACGATAATACCACAACTAAATTGCAATCAGCTTCAGTTTACAAATCGTTTTATCCCATTATGAATCCCAACAGCGTACTTTGAATACTAATTATTGTACCAAATTATTCGATAAATAGCTAGGGATAGTTAAGTTTATAATCAAAAATTCTGCGTGAGAGATAATAAAGTTTTAAATAATATATTATCTTGTATTATAAACAACAGTATTCCATTTTTGTGTCAAGCTAAAATTATATTACTGCAATTTGTTATACTTCTTTTTTACATTAAAATCACTTATTAAATTCAAACAAATAATCATACATAAAATGTATGATTAATATATTATTTTTATTATAAATAATGTTCATCTAGGAAATCGAAGTTAGTTAAATATTTAATAACTATTTGGATTTACGAAAATCCTTTTTGTCTGGAGGATCTGGAAATAAGCAAAGTTCAGGGAAAGTTTGTCATGTGTATATCAATTAAAATCGCATAATTTGTGAAGATATCCAAGTGTTTAAAAATCATACTGAATAAATTAAAAATGTGTGAATCACTTAAATCCAATCACGAGATACTATTACTATTGATTATATTATGTAATTTATAATTTAAATTTAAGTGTCGAATAATATATGATAGTTTTAATTAACTACGGGATATCTAATAATCTATTCAAATATTTTCTAGTCAACAATAAGTAGTTTTTTTTTTAATTACTATCAAATGTTGACTATCGAAAAGATTCCATAACTATGGGATGATTTTATTAATCGAATAATTATTGAATACAAGGGAACGTAAATTAAATCGAAAATTATTAGAGTTGTCAATTAAATCAGTTCCATTGTGTATATACTTATAAGTTATATGTAGCAATCATATACAATACATATATACAAAATAACTACTAGTAATTATGAATTGAGATATGCATTTTACAAGGTTATAGTTTAAACATATTTTACGTTTATTATTTACCATAGCATATATTTTTTTCAGAAATGTATAGATGGTATAGAGATAAAAATAATATTTGTTATTGTACTCGAAAAAGAAATTTTTATTTGACTTGAAACAAAAAAAAAAACTATAGTGTATTAATTATAATTAGGACGCAGATTTCAATGCATATTGCATTTTTTTTATGGTTATCTTAGACGATACTTTCCAAAAACAAAATTTGGTTTATCTTATAGAGAATTCAAAAATTAAACTTTTATCTTCTCCTATCAGCTTTAGAAACAATCGAGTCTCATAACTGAAAAACGAAAATTTCCCCCCTCCCAGTCTAGTGCTACCTTACTATCATTGTCTATCCCTAGTTATCTTTGTACTTTTACATTATTGTCAATAAATCTCTGCTTTAGTTTTCCAATCGATCTCTTTTTTATTACATCATTTGTTGATTTAGTCCTAAATACATGTTTGAGTGAGCTTAATCTCTTGTATCGTATTTCAACTATTATATTTGGTTTTTCGAATAATTGTTGTATTTCAATATTAGATCTAATATCATATGTTTCAATTTCTTTATTTTTTAGTCCATATAATATATATATATATAGAAAATATTTCTAAGAAATTTTCTTTACGTAGCAGCTAGTTTTTTTTTTTTTTTTTAATGAATTTGAGTTCGGATCCTAGTTATATATTTTAAGTCATTTTCATTTAATATTTACAAAAAAACATAAATTAAATTACTCAATTTTTTTTTTAGTGGCAATTATACGATGACTATTTATTATCAACAGTTTGTATCATAGTCATAATTATTTATAATTTTAAATAGTTAATTAAGCCTAATAAATAAATACACATATCATATTGTATAAATCTTTATTATAATTTATAATTTTAAGAGAGCTTAAGTATAACTGAAAAAGTTTCACTTCATTATCTTAAAAATATTCACTATCTTCAACAGGATTTTTTAAGTATCCAATTTAATTAAAAAGTGCATAAATTATGTTTTTTAAGAATTCTTTTTAAAGTGCACAGTGAATATTTTCATATAATTTCAACTATTTATACTTTTAGTAATAATTAAATTATTTATATTCTTTTTATATTTATACTTAATAAGTAGCTTTTGAAACTAGTCCACGCCAATAGAAAATAATAACGCAACTCTATTTAATAATTAAAAAATTAGGAACTTATTAAAGAATGGACGTCATAAATAATTGATTATGATGACTCATTAGCAGTTATAACTAATTAATTTAAAACGCATAAATATAACACTAATATTTATTTGTATTATCATGAAATAAACCAAAAAACGTTACATCTCAATAAATGTCTACTAAATGTCATATTTTTTGTTAAAAGTGTTATAAAGTAAAATATTAAGTAAACGGAAATAATTATTTTTCATGAAATTTCGTAATTTCATGATAAAAAAAGATAGATAAATAGTAATAACAATAGCAATAAGATTCAATGCACGAGGTGCTTAAAAGTTTCAAAAATATAATCATAGTAATAAATTCTGACAGAGCAATTATACTTTGAATAATAAGATATAAACTAAAATCTTGATATTTTCACATAAATCTTCCGTAAAAATTCTATGACAACTTTAAACGACACTCGTAAAGTTCAAAATGATATGATTAATCTTAAAACAAGCAGTACTTTGAAAAGTAATTTTCTCCAAAGGAACTTCTGTATTTTATACAAATGAACTTTCGCATTACTATGTTACACTCCGTATGTCAACTTACAGGTATTAGAAGTGCGATATTCACACAAATTATGCGATAAGAATGAAAATGCATACATCAAACATTTCATATAACTACACTCTTCAATACGCCGGTTAAGTTTATTGCGTTAGTCGAGTTTTCCTAATGAGTTTTACTCTGCCCACGTTCAAAGGGAGGGCATGATAATCCAACAAACAATGAGTGGAGAATTTACGTCAAAATAATTACCCAATTTTTCGTCAAGAAACGGCAAGAAAGGAAATGGAAGTAAAGAGATAAGATAGGTCGGCTGTCAAGAAACTATCGGTGAAGAACAACAAAACAAGGTGAACGGAGTAATCCGATTGCCAAACCTTACTAGAACACCAGCGTTGCCTTGTCGCCAGCTATATGTGTGGGGTATGGAGTAGAATAACGAGAAAAGAGCCGGGTAATAGTGAACGAGAAAGGGTAAGGGTGCGTATAGGGAACGAGAGCAAGAGGAAACAAGGTAAATACACTAATGAAATAAGCCACGGGACACTGGCGCACTTTAAAGGCAGTTAATACCAACAGTGCACTCGTTCCCGGCCGTACACTATATGAAACGAATTTTGTTGTTTAGAGTGGGGAAAAGACCCAAGACCCCGTGGGGAAAGTATAAATGACGGGGTAAAAGCTTTTGTTTCTCTGTGATTGTAAAACGGTGGATTAGTCGACAGAACAGAATTTCGAAAAGATAACCAGGACATCGACAAAGAAAATTTATATTGTCGATTGTTGCCAAAAAAAGCTCTAAGTGATACTAATGCAGTGATTGTTTTATGTGTTTTAAGACGGATAAAGTACTAGATGATCCATAAATATATATATATATATATATATATCAGTGTTAATGTTTATAATTTTTAAGTAGAGATTAATGTATGTTACAAAAAAAAAAATAGTTTTAACCATAGTTTAATAAAAACAATCACGAAATTCAGTCATTAAAAGGGATTAACCTTAAATCTCTTAAATTAAATCAAATATTGTCGACGTCAGGTAATATATGTTTAACAGAGATCATGAATTTACAAAAAAACACTGGCATAGAAAAAAAGCTTCAAAGTATTAATACACTTGTTGCGCTGCAAATAACAATTTCGATTCGAATGGTTTTGATAATAAGAAAAATATCCGGATTTCATTAGAAAAAACCAAAATTTTAAGATACAACAGTAGTTAAAATGTTATTATTAGTTTCACGCTGCGATAGAAAATTTTACTGAAACAGCTCTAAATGACACAAAATCATTGATTTATACACTCAACAAATTTGTGTAGTTAAATGTTTGCTTGGATGGAAGTGTGCTACAATTAACATGGCGAAATAAAACGATTTTCATCACAGCGGGTTGGAAAATGGAAATGTGACCTGAGAATAAGAAAGACGGTAGGCGGTCTTTAGTGATTTATGCATTTACAACTTGTTAAAACAGTTAAAATTAATCCAAATCCTAGTGTAATTGCTTTATCCCGTTACCACTGTTACAGTTACTAAGAAAGATAGCTAACGTAAGAACAACAATTACTTATTATGATAAACAAAATAATAAAATGTGTCTTTTGAGAACATTGTATCAGTATTACTAGTAAAACTTCAATTTAAAATAACTTTCAACATTTTTAAAGCATAAACACTTAAATTCATAAATATTGAAAACTTTTTCAATATATTATTTTTAAACTGATCAGCAATAGGAAGG